TTCTGTATTACTTGACAATATTAAAATCTGCTAGAGAGGACAAGAGGACAAGAAAACAAACGGGACGGATAAAACTCATTTAAGACATGATAATCATAGGGTAAGCAAGGTTAGCTTATAAAATACAGGCAACACTCAGAGGCTCTGTTAAGTATAGATTATGAGAATGCAAGCTTGTGAAACAGGCGGAATTCAACAGATGTGATAAAAATAAATAGTAAGTTAGTAACCTGTAAGACAGTCAGTGGTGGTTCAGTGGTAGAATTCTTGCCTTCCATGTAGGAGACACAGGTTCGATTCCAACCAAAACACCTCAAGTGCAGCCACCACTCGTATGTCAGTGAAGGATTGCCTGCTGCTGTGATGCTGAACAGTTTTGGCAGAGCGTCCAGACTAAAACAGAATATGATGACAGGTCTAGCGATCTACTTCCAAAAAACCAGCCAACGAAAACCATACAGATCACAACAGTTCAATGCTGTTGTGCATGGGGTCACCATGAGTCAGGGCTGACATGATGGAAGCTAGTAATAACAAGACATGCCAAAAACAGAATAGAAAATATGACAGAACAAACAAGAAGTTTACTTATAGGCAGAATGGACTGGAAAGACAAAGTTATGATCATGCCATCTCCGGGCTAATAGCTATGACACCCTTAAATTGGCCACCCACTGATGACACCCGATTTGGTCCTATTCTGGATTCACAGTTGTTCTACCAATGAAATGTAAATACTGCCCATGGCTTATCAGCAGGCAAACTGGCAAAGCTATAACTGTGAATAGATGTACTTGTCTCTCTGATAGGGCAAATGTGTTGGCCCAGAGCAGCACTGGTCTGTACAGTCCTTCTCAAACATCAACTTTGGTCCTCATAACCACACCATCAACAGGGAAGGCTGACCTGACAGATAGACAGGACATATGAACGTTGCGTAGTCAGGACTTAGGTAGTGTGGTCCCTTCCAACCCTGCGTGCACCTTAAGTGTGTTAATTTACCCCCTTGCTTTCCTCCTGCTTCTCACCATGTGTTTTAAATTGATTTGATAAACGGTGTGATTGAAGCATTTTAATTTGGGTGGTGAACGCTTCTGATCCATTACCTCTGGGATAGCTTCCCGGGCAGTATACTTGGAGATTAACCATTGCATCAAGGTTATTTCCCACAAAACACCTACTGAATCCAGATCTGTATTTTAACAAGATCCCCAGGTGATTTATATACACCTTAAAATTGACGAAGCACTGAGCAAGACTGTTAAAAGAGAAGCCCCCACAAAGACAGAGAAATGTAGATCTCTGAAGAACTAGTATGCTCTGAACACCATCTCCGAGAACAGGCCCCATGTACCCCTAACAATACCTCAGAGCCCCAAAAGAAGGAGAAAAAACTACTAAGGGACACATATTCAGCAAACTATCGTGTAAAGTTCAGAGCAGCATTGCTGCCGTTGCTGATACTCCTTTGAACTCCATACCGTTTGAGGAAAAAATGAAATTCAACATTAACCCTGCAATATCCTTCTTGCTGAGAGTTAAGAAAATCTACTTTTTCAGATATGCTGTTTTAAGAACACCAATCCAAAGGACATAAGTCTGCCACAAACAGATAAAGGGTTATAACTTCCTTAATGAAGTTGTGGTGACCTTAGAAAGATCTTCAAAGAAAAAAAGCTGGGCAGAAACAGCCTGAGAACCTTACTTAATGAGGCTGTACACATCCCCCCACCAGTAGTTCCTGAATTGATCAGCTCCAGTCATTTTACCTATTTCTAACATTTGCATTTTCCCGACACATAGTAGGGGCTCAATAAATGTTCTGAATTAATAGAAAAATGAAAAATGTCATTCTACCCTTGATTCACCCAACACAAATTTATTTTTCTCAATTCCTTGGTTTTGAGAAATTCCTGAGAATGAAGGCATAATTCCACATCTCAAGTTAGCATGGTTCATAGCACTCTTCTACATCTTGAAGTTAGACTTCATATTTTCATTTATTAATTCATTCTACTATTCCATGACCCTGTGAAACACAAACTATACCATAAGAACAACTGTGTCAATGAAAGATATGAGAGTCATACTAAATGCTGGACAGCATATTAAAAAGTAACTATTAATTAAGTACAAGGAATTTGCCACATAGGAAAGATCAGCTATTATTCTGATGATTTATCTAGGGCCAGATTTAAGACACCTGAGGGAAATATCTATTTAAATCATCTATAGAAGAACTAGACTGAAACTGAGAACGACATCGCACACAAAGTTGATAAACAGGATCTATAACAAAAGACTAAAGGTGTTTAAGAATATTTAACCTAATGGAGAACAAGATAAGAATACCAGGAAAAGAATGTAAAAGTTCTAAAGCTCATTCCTGTAGGGAATGTGTTCTTTATCACCTCTGAAAGAGGAAGTGTGCTTAAATTTCAAAGGAAAAGATTTAGAAGCCATAACTTCCTACTCCATAAATAAAGCTTTGAAACACACGGAATGGCTGAGTGAATTCCCTTCCATGTGATCTACCAAAGTCCTTTCACTCTATGTATTTAATACAGGCAAGTACTGTTAAGTACCTGTAGGATATAGAAAACATGTCTGCCTCAGACATTTTGGCACCAGTTTTTACACTGTGTCATATGGTTTCTAAATACTATGTGTTTAAGAATTGACTCTCTAAGTTCACAGAGGAAAGGGGTACCTTATAGATTTTTGTCTTTTGCAGCTCACAGCATAGAAACAGATACATGATAAGCCTTCAATAAAAGTTACTGAGTTTAATTAAGTATCACCACCCTCTGAGGCAAAAATCTTAATTGGAGAGTAATCTAAATACCACCACCACCCATCACCACCTGTGCAAAATACCGCTGAAAATTTCCAGGTGAATCCACTTCCAGGTTAAACAACAGAAGCAATTAAGAGTCATTGTCTTATTCCTTAAGAGAGGCTAAGAATGCATCTTTCTATTTGCAAACTTAATCCACTCCAACTAGTAGTATTAACTGCCCAATAAAACACAACGCATTATCTGTTTCACAAATTTTATGCTTGATCTATGTGTTCTAGTTCTTGATGAAATGTGTTAAACTTAAATGTATGTAATCTATTTTCAGTCTTCGTTTTTAATACGAACATTAACAGGCAAGATGCTTACTGTTACAAGTGACAACAGTAACAATCATTTTAATTTCAAAATATCATACCCAAAACCTGGTTTATTCACATATGAACAGGCATATTTCAATGATAAATCCTTTAAAATCCATTAGACATATTACTGTGAAGCACAGAACCCAAATACAGGACTGGTATTCCATTTGGTTGAGTGGGTAGTGTTCTACTTGATAAATTTTCATAAGCTGCTATCCTGCTGTTAGGGAGTCAGTCACTGGGTTTAACAAACTCCTTGAAGAGTTCATTTCAGTTATTCCTGCTTTACTCAATGTGAAAAGTTAATCTTACTGTTTTCTTCCTAAGAGGTAAGAAGATGTTCAAAATGAAGCACCAGGAGGGGAATGGTGAAATTTAGGAGCTCATGGGATAGGCCTGAAGGAAAGGTACCTCTGAAGACAGTGGCTAGAGGTGGGGCAGAGAAGTGGGGAAAAGAAGGAGAGAAAGCCTAACAAAAGAAGGTGGTAAGCACTGCAAATATACTTATTTAGCTTACTTAGAAACTAGATACACACCTACAGTTTACTTTAAGCATAGTTCACCTGACATGGCCTACACACATCCAGAACATGTGCCTTACACTAATGAAATTAAAGTTTACCTGCTAACACCTGGAAATAACTTAGCAGATTTCATTTCAAAAGTTTTTATAATTAAAGCAAAACCAAATTTCTCTTTGAATAATTCCATATAAATCAAATATCTTACATCCTACTATGGAAGTTTCATAAGATGAAAAAAAACACAAGCACAGTAGTTTTAGATTTCAAGGACAGAACTGAAAAAGAAAACATATCAAATTCCAAATCTATCATATATGCACAGTGCCTAGGATAGAAGCCCTTAGGAAATGGTTTCAAACTACACATCCTACTGCCACAATGCTCCAGATACCCTTAGGAGGGCATGCCAAAATCTTAGGGCTGAGCTGATAGGCACGTAAACTTTGAAAAAGCACTCCAGAAGATTCTGATACTCAACCAACCACCACCCGCCCCCACTGTCATTATCAGATAATAACGTTCCACCACCTGCAGCTGATGTACTTTGTGCTACTCTTATATACCAAATGCTGAGTGAAGTCATTAGAATAGAGCATCTGAATTCAACTGGCATTTATCCAGTTTTTAAGAGGTAAAAATAAATCATGAATGACAAACCAATTTTACCTCCTTTCACAAAACTTCATTTTAAAACTACATAACAAATTCTGAGCTCAAAGCTGTTTACAATAGCTTCTCAATTAAAGTATTTAAGCCAGATAAATGTATTTCCATAAATCAAACTTTCACTTTTCACCAAGTAGCAGTACAAAAACAAAAGTTCCAACATTCCTCACAATCCACTTATACTTAAGGGGTAACTCAGATTTTTTTTTAAAGCAAGTAAATAAAGAGTATTTCAAGGTTACCATAATTCTCCCACTGTGCATTATACCTCATATCCTACAGTGTCTAGAGTCAGAAAATTGTATAATTTACAGGTACTCTTAGGGAAAGCTATTTAAAGAATTATTTTTCAAACTGGTATTTCCAGTTTCCACAGTCTTCATATTATTCAAACTCCAGTCCACTGGAATATATCTCACAGTCCAAACTTCTTCAGATTTAATATTATTCTCAACTTTCATTGGTTTATGCAACTATAAAGCACACTAAGAAATCAGATGGATATCTTTCAAACTCTAAACCTTTAAAATCACCTGACGACATGTGTATATCAAGAACCTTGATTCCTTACAAAAACTTCTGGTAGTTGTCAAATCTATTCTGCATACAGTTAGGCCCAAATAATAAAAATGGAGAAAACATACTTACCTTAATTGGAGCACTACTAAACTTAATTTTCCTATTTACTGGGATGTCTTCTTCTTCTGGCAATCCAACAATTTCTGAGTATTCCATATCAGGTTGATAGTAATTGTTTTCATCACTATCTTCCTGTTCATCTTGCTCAGTGCCTGTCTCTCCCCAATCTGAATTATACCTGGATCTTACTCTATACACATTATAGTCACTGTGCATGTAAACATGGGAATTCTCAAAATTATTCAAATCTTCAGGTACTTCTTTTCCATATCTGGATCCAGACGCATCACCAGAGGTGAAATCACTACCTCCAAGTTCTTTTCTCTGTTGCTTTGCTGCCTCACTCCCAACCAAATTAGCTTCAGCATCTTCTAAAGGTTCATTTTGTGGTGAAAGGATTTCAGACTCTGGCATTGCCTTATTTTCAGCACCAGGCTCTTCAGGAATGTCTTTGTCAATTCTGTCAGGAGCCTCCTGGTTAGATATTGAGTCCTCGGTTTCCTTGCTCTGCTGTATCCCTTCACTAGGCATTGAAACTAGAGTACCTTTAGAGGCTACTTCTGGTGCTGAAGTTGTATTGCTCTTCGGAGCATCCACTGCGTAGGCACCTTGTTTGTTTGAAGGCGACCAAGAATTAGAATCCTTAAGGTGTCCAAAAGTGTCAAGATTTGTAACAGTAGATGGTAAATTCAGTGGATAATGCCCAGTCACTGAGTATTCCTCATTGTTTTCAGCCTTCTCTGAAATGATGGCACTGGGAGAATCGGAGTTCTCAAATACTGCACTCAGTTGACTCACAGTTGGGGAGACAGCCTCTGTCCGAGAGCTAAGACTATCCAAGGAATCAGTACTGCCTCTGTTGGACTTGGACCCACCCCATTCATCCTGAGGTTCACTACCTCCAGCTTTTTCCTCTTTCTTTGGGGAATAGCGGTTGTTTTGTCCTGACTCATGCACACTTCTCTCAAACATCTTCCGAGTTTCTGTGAACTTAGAATATGAAGGGCCATCGTACAATGTGTCAAATCTACTAATTCGTTCTGAAACAGAGGACTCCAACTTAACAACTGAGCCATCTGTTTTCTCCAGAAATTCTTTGGGCTTCATTCTTCTCTGAGGAGATGAAGGTCTACCTTTCCCCCTGGTTTTGGCAATGACTGCAGCATTCTCACTGGGTTCCATACCCATCTGCATAAATAGGTTTTTAATTCTATTGACATTGGAGCCATATTTCCTCCCCCTGCTCTGCTGAGAGCCCTCACCTTCTTTTGTTTTTTGTTCCCCATCTGACTTGGGTTTGTCAAAGGTGCTTTTCAGTGCCTGGAACTCAGTTCTATACGCATTCCTGTGAGGAGAGGCACTTCTGAGAGTGGTTCGTTCACCTGAAGACTCAGTTTTCAACATTTTTACTTCAGAAGTGAAAAGCCAATGTTCATAATGACCAAAAAAAGAAAAATATAAAACCACTCTCTTCTCTAATCACCAGTATTTGGTCAAGAAAAAGTATCTCTCAAATGGCATACTCAGTCAGTGATCCTCCCAACAGGTGTATTAGGAAATTATTCACAGGCAAGAGATATACAAAATGGCTTTTTCAAAGCAAGACTAGAAGTTCATCTGTAATAGAAAAGAATGAATTTCTGAATTCATTTACTTATTTGAATGTTTTTTAGTCCATTAATATATACTTTATTTTCAAAGTGGCTTGCCATATTTCAATCAAAAGAAATTACTTATTGAAATAGAAAGTTAAAAGTCCAGAAGATAAAAGTTATAATTCTGACTGGTCTTTGGTAACAAAAATGTTTCAAACTCAATCTGAAGATCCCTACCAAAATCACACACACACAAGTTAAACATAAGCACACTTGAAAGCAATACTTTAGCTCAAGTTTTGGTTGTTTTTGTTAATGTCCTTAAAAGAAATCAGCAGTTCAGATATCTTCAAGAAGTCATCAAACTGTCTATAAAATCAACTCATTTGGGATTATCCAATATGAAGTAGAATTTATTGTTTGATACAATTAAAACTTCGGAATCTATGTTTACAAACTCTTAAACATGCCTATAGAAGCTTGTTTCACGCTTTCTGGTCTAATATTCTCACCTATAACATCTCCAAAGCAACATTAGCACAATTTCAGACCAAAACAAGCAGAAGAAAAGTTTTAAATAGCAGTAAGTTTCACTATAACTTCAGTTGTATCAAATATTTGGAAGTTTTGGAATGAAATGGAGAAAATCATGGGGGTAAATGCATGAGAAAGTGACAGCCAGAAAGCAAATACACCAGAACCCTCTCTTTACAGCCCTGATTTGTTTATTCCTTCTTGTCTCTAACTTACTACAAGCTCAAAATTCAATGCATGCTTGCTGGTCTCCTCTAACACATAGGTGGATTTTACATCAATATGCCAGAAATCAAATACTTCAAGATCTGCTAAGGAGCAGACAACAAGGGTCCTAAAGATTTTTAATTTTGTTTTGTTGTTGTTTGGGTTGTTTTTTTTTTTTTTAATTAGACTGAGCCACATCACCCTAACGCACAATCAGCTGAGGAAGCACACACTTTCACTTAAATCCTCTCCAAACTCGGTTCCTGGCCCAGCACGCATGCATGGCCCATGCAGATAAACAAGAAGGGCTTTAGAGTGTGGTGCCTGATTTTTGTTTTTTTTAAAACATCGACAATCTCCTTTTACCCTGACATTTTTTAAAGCCATAAACACCCTCCCCTCCCCCCTACACACATCCCACTCCCTCCCCCGCCAATTCCAACCCGAGGGGGCGGGGGCGGGGGCGGGGGCGATGGGGCCGCCGGGGGATTCAAAACCTGCCCTCACAAAAGACAAACATAAATAACACCAACTTGAGAGGCAGCGGATTCCCAAGCCTGGTTCGGGACGCAATCCCTCGGCCCCGGGGCAGGGCCAGGAGAGCAGGTGACGCCAAGCGCTATGGTAGGAGGTCGCAGTCTAGCTTTGTGCCAAGAAGCACCTGAAGTCCTAACACATTGGCTGCGGCTCCCGGCGGCTGCCAGGCGGATCCCAGTGTGGCTCGAGCTCCCTGGCCACGTTAAAAAAAAAAAAAATTACTGGGTAATGATAATAAATCCCTTTGTTTTTCCTCCCAATGTGCCAGGAAACAATAGATCCCACTGATAATGCCTCCGATCCTCAACCTATCGCTCCCCAACCACAGCCCACCCCCACCCCCAGCCTGCAACTCAGCCTTTGTACACCCTCGATTTTTTTCCTCCTCATCTCCACCCTCCCCAACTCCTCGCCCCGCGCACAGCCTCCCCCTTACCCGAGCGGGAGCCGCCGCCAGCGGAGAGGGTCGGGCCGCCGCGGCTCCCACCCGTCCCTGTAGGCTCCCCCCACCCCACGGTGGCCTCGGCTCGGCTCCGCGCCGTCCCGCTCACTGCCCCGCCACCCACCCGGCTCCTCACGGCGCAGGGAGGAGGGCGGCCGCTGCCAGTCGCGCTTCGGCCCCCACGGCGCGCTGCGCTCCCCAACGCTATTGCAGGCCAGCGGGCGGCGGCCCCGGCACAGACGCGCTTGCACACTCGGGCCGGCCGGGGGTGGGGGTACGACCGGGGAAGGGGCTTCGCCCACGTGCGGTCACCCGCGGCGGGCCGTTTGGCTGGCCGAGGAGGCTGGGGTGTAATAGAGGGAGGCCTCGGGGGTGAGGAAGGCCCGGGGTAACAGGTGCCTCACCTCGGTTGATGGAATTAACTCTAGGGCCGCAGAGAGAGGGAGCCCGGCAGCAAAATCCCAGGAGAGGGAGAGAGAGGGAGCCTCTGGCGGCCAACGGAGGGCGAAAAGCACGGAGCGGCCCGAGGCGAGGCCGCCCCACCCCCTCGGCCTGCCGCAGGCTCCGGGCCTCTCAGGCCTGGGACAAGGCCTTCTCTTCTGGGGCCTGTTAGCTCTCCCGCACTGGTGCAGTTTTGGGGCTTCATGCTGCCGGGACCCCGGTTTTTCTGGAGTCTGTAGTTAACTGCGTGACCCTAGGGCATCCAAAATTCCAAGTCAGTATCCTAGGCCACTATCCTGGCCAAAACCTAGGCCATTTGGTGTCCCAGGCCTCCAACTAGGCTGCTGTGTCCAGGCTAGTACCAATCTTAACCTTAGGCCCCAATGATAAAAGGAAAGGATGAGAGGGTCCTCTGACTTTATTGTCATAAGGTGTGTTTTTCAACCCAACCACGCTTTTATAAATACTTAGCATCCCCTACACAAACACAAAATACCAGAAGTGTTATACCTTACTACAAAATGTAAAACTGATTATAACTGTCAACATAGACCTTTAAACCAGTTCTGCCAAAAATTCTATGAAGAAAAAGTTCTTCATTGTGGTTAGCTGCCCTCAGTTGCCCTGACTCATGGCAACCCCACGCACAAGGGGATCAGACCATTGTGATCCACAGAGTTTTCATTGGTTGATTTTTCGGAAGTAGATCATCAAGCCTTTCTTTCTATTCTGTCTTAGTCTGGAAACTCCACCTGAAACCTGTTCAACACCATAGCAACACACAAGCCTCCACTGACAGACTGGCATTAACTGTACGTACGAGGTGCATTGGCGGGGAATTGACCTGGGTCTCTGGCATGGAAAGTGAGAATCACACAGCCGAACCAACAATGTACTCAAAAATTTTACTTGACTCACTAATTAGGGGAAGGAACCATTGAGATATTGCAACGTATTCAAATGAGGAATCTGAAGAACAGACAAAAGCAAAACTGGCCAATATCCTGTATTGTTGTTGTTAGTTGCCTTGAGTTGGCTCTGACTCATGGCAACCTTACATATAACAGAACAAAGTGTTGCCTGGTCCTGTGCCATCTTCATGATTGTTGGTATTTGTGAGTCCATTATTACGGCCATTGTGTAGTGCCTTCCAACCTAGGGGGCTCATCTTCCAGCACTATATTGGCCAATATTCTACTATCATCCAGAAGGAGGTCCTATAGGCTAATTTTCAGAAGTAAATCAGCAGGCCTTCCTTCCTAGTCTGTCTTAGTGTGGAAGCTCCTCTGAAACTTATCCACTGTGGGTAACTGCTTGTATTTGAAATACCAGTGGCATGGCTTCTAGCATCATAGCAACATGCACGCCACCATAGTATGGCAAACTGACAGACAGGTAGGGCACTAAAATGCAACGTTTGGAATTACCTCTTCTACAGGGCAAAAGTTAATTGTATCCCTCAGGAACAAAATTAATTTCTATAGATAAAAATCATTTTCATTACCATAAGTTTCTACAACTGACTTTGCTGCATAGGCAAAGTCAGTCAAACATACAGACTACTATAGAATCAGGTAACTACAAAAGATCCTGTAGATAAACCCAGGCATTTCCTTCCAGTAATCATTTGCCCATTTCAGTCTTTCACAAGTTTTCCCAACAGAACTATTATTCTCTGTATATACAGATGGGAAACTGAGGTTTGGGTTTAGTAACTTATCCACAACTTTATTAGCTAGTGTAGCCCTGGTGGCGTAGTAGTTAAACAACTTGGCTGCTGAGCTGCTAACCAAAGGGTTGACCGTTCGAAGCCACCAGCTGCTCCTCAGGAGGAAGATACAGTGGTCTGCTTCTGTAAAGATAACAACCTCAGAAACCCTATGGGGCAGTTCTACTCTGTCCTACAGGGTCACTAATGAGTTGGAATCGACTCAATGGCAATGGGTTTGGTTTGGGTTTGGGTTTATTAGCTAGTAAATAGTTGTGGCTCAGTATGAACCCAGATAAATCTGTACACAGAATCTATACTCTGGGAATAAAATCCCTCTCCCTTAAATTCAAAAGAACTTTGTAACTACCCAATTCTATATATCTTTTATTTTGAAGAGTAAGTTTTTTTTGTTCTTTTCCCCAAGCCTCACCAAATTCTGGGTCTCTTCCCAAGAAATTGGCATTTTCTGTCTACGTAGTAGATGTCACTTCTATAAGCATAAACAGATGTAACAGGCAATGTGAGGGGGCTGTGGTTCCAGTCTCCAGTTTTGGAAAGAACATTTGTGCTGTCTGGGATAATTTAGTGGAAAAGTTCCTGTCGTTTAGTTGCAGTATGGAAACCAGGTTTTTTAGGAGAATAACTTAAATAAATGCAGAACCCAATCACTGAGTTCTGTCTGTAGAAGAGGACGCAGAGCTGGCAATAAAATCAGTCTTACACTTCTTTGCAATAAGATGATTCATACAGAAAAGCAGCCTAAAGAACTTGGTCGATTTGGGGTTTATTTTTTGAAAATGTGAAACTCCTAGAAAAATGTATAATGAAAGAATGAATGACAGTTTTTAAAACAATGTTAAGATTCCTGGATTGTCCATAATCTACCTCCCACTTCTAACACTTATGTGAATGTTTGAAGAGCCTACTAGATCTATGCTATCTGATACATGTGGCTATTTAAATTTAAATTAATTAAAATTAAATGCTATCTAAACATTCAGTTTCTTAGCCACACTAGCCATGATTAAAGGAGTTCATTGGGTACGTGTGACTAAAAAACCACTGTCGTCAAGTGGATTCCAATTTAGCGACCCTATAGGACAGAGTAGAACTGTCCCATAAAGTTTCCAAGGCTGTAAATCTTACAGAAGCAGACTGCCACATCTTTCTCCCAGAGAGCCACTGATGGTTTCGAACTGCCGACCTTTTGGTTAGCAGTTGATGGCTTTACACATGCTACTACTAGCTAGCATATTGAAGAATGCAGATATAGAACGTTTCCATCATAGAAATTTCTATTAGGCAGTGCTGTTCTAGGCAACATTTTCATTCAGCTGCTAACCGAAAGGTTAGTGGTTCCAATCTACTCATAAGCACCTGAGAAGAAAGTCCTCATGATCTACTTCCAAAAAATCAGTCTTTGAAAAACCCTATGGAGCACAGTTCTACTCTGACATATACGGGGTCATCATAAGTAGGACAAAGACTTTATAAGCGTTAACTAAATTCAACAGACCATTAATGTATTAGAAATTAGAGGTCATGAGTTTTGTATATTCACACTGGGGAGGGGGTTGTTAGCTAGTAAAGGGTAAAGTTCAGTACTGACCTACAAAGCATCCAAAATGTTATATATTTGGGGGTATTCAATTTTCATATATGATTTCTTACGTTTAATAAATCGTAGTAATTTTAGACTGATATTTTTCTTTGCTTTGCAACTAATAACATCATAGTAAGAATGGACCACAAGATTAGTGAAAAACAAAAAGAACAAAATGTATTCTATTTTGTTTTAGGGTTTTTCTGAATATGAATTTTTTTTTAAGTTTTCATAAGTGGATGTCCTGAGTAACTATTCGAAGAATTAAATTATTCATAAGTATTAGTAGGTGCAGCTAGGAAATCAGCCTAAATCAAACCTGAATCAAGTTTTAAGACTATGAAAAGCTTACTATACTGGGCCTGAAGAGGGTCCATGAATCGTTAATTTATAGTAGGAATGCACCTGGTTGGTTGTGTGTTAAAGGAAGTTCATAAAGGAAGAGAAAAGGTCTCTAGAATAACTTCTTTTCAGAGAAGGCAAAGTAACGGAGGAATAATGGCTATGGGTAATTTTACACAGAGCTTTAGTGTAAAAGGATATTTTACTCTTACTCATGTTTCTTTGGAGTCCATGAGTGGTACAGCTCCTAATGGAAAGGTTGGTGGTTCAAATTCAACGAGAGGTGTCTTGGAAAAAAGGCCCAGTAATCTACTTCTGAAATATCAGTCATTGAAAACACTATTGAATGCAGTTCTACACAGTTCTACATGTGATTATGATGAGTAGGAACTGACTAGGCAGTAACAGGTTAATGTTTCTTTAACAATACTCATTAATAACAAAAAAGTAACCAAGTAGCTTGTTTACCAAAAGTTTACTTGCCCAAACCTACTGCCATCAAGTTGATTCTGACTCATAGCAACCCTATAGGACAGAGTAGAACCGCCCCATAGGGTCTCCAAGGCTGTAAATCATTACAGAAGTGGACTGTCACATCTTTCTCCCGAGGAGCGCTGGTGAGTTCGAACTGCCGACTTTTGGTTAGCAGCTAAGCACTTTAACCACTGTGTCACTAGGGCTACTAAAGTTTACTTGTAACTACTTATTTCACATTTGCAAATATTAGAATGCTTTGTCGCTTTCAGTCTTGAATATTGATATTCAGTTATCTTAAAGGGTCCATCTTTTAAAATAACCATCTTAATTTAAGGGTAAAAGTTTGTTTCTTTTAGTCTCATGGTATTTCACACACACTCCATTGAAGAGAAAAGTAGAATATATTTATCTAAAATAGTAATGGAGAGTCCTCGGGCTCACATCAGAGTACAATGTCAGAGATACCTATTATCAGTCTGATTTTGTGATGTTAGCTACAAAATTGAGATTAAATCAATAAATGTTATTTTGTGATTTAGAAAGATGTCGTTTATGCCCCTAAAAATTGATAATGATTCTGAATGGTTTTCTACCTACACTCATGGGTTGGCCATGACATTGAAAATTCATACCATCGTCTTTGTTCATTTTCCACTCTACAATGTATCCAGTATCTTGAATTTTCAGCCTAAAAGTGGGCTCATTGATAGGTTTGAGTATTTGTGTTTATTTGATACAAGTAATAAATAAACTGTAGAACTTTTTGGGATTCTTTAAGGTCATTTTTTTAAGTTATTTTTAATATCTCTATAGATAAACTGAAGTAGATTTACATACTGTGTTTAGACTGTCAAAGAAGA